CTAAGGTAAGGAGATGGGTGAGTCTAATCTATCATGGGAGTCCTTTAAAAGTAGAGAGCTTTCTTTGGCTAGTAGTAGAAAAGGCAGTCAGAGAGATTCAAGGTACGAGGCGATTTGGCTTGAGGCAGGTTTCCCCTTGCTGGGCTGGAGGGGCCGGCAGGCAGCCACTAGGAACAGAGTGGACCCCTGGCTGACAGCCAGAAAGAAAATGAGGACCTCAGTCCTATGACAACGACCTGGATTCTGCCAACAACCTGGATTACCTTGAAAGCAGATTCCTCCCCTGAGCCTCCAGACAAGAGGCCAGCCCAGCCAACACCTTGCCTTTGACTTGAGAGACCCTACGCAGAGAACCCAGTTGACTCCAGTTGGACTTCTAACCTAAAGAAATAGGAGATGATAAATAGATGTTATTTAAAAATGCTAAGTGTACAATAATTTGTTGTGTAGCAACAGAAAACCAATGAGGCACGCATCTCTGGAAAGAAGTTTGATCCCTGTTTTTTAAGTGATGAGGCACAGAGAGCTATCGTTGCTTAGCCAAGATTGCACAACACATGAGTGACAGGCTGAGTCACAGCCCAGGGCAGGGGCCAGCAAACATATTTTGTGAAGGTCTAGATAGCAAATATTTAGGCTTTGTGGGCCATACAGTTTCTGTTATAACTATTTCATTCTAACATCGTAGTACAAAAGTAATATGTAAAGACTGTTCTAGTAAACCTTTTTAAATGCTACAGTTTGAATTTCATAACATTTCTGCACATAATGACGTATTCCTATTTATTTATTATTGAGACAAAGTCTTGCTCTTTCGCGCAGGCTGGAGGGCAGTGGCACAGTCTCAGCTCACCACAACCTCTGCCTCCCAGGTTCAAGCAATTTTCCTGCCTCAGCCTCTCAAGTAGCTGAGATTACAGGTGCCCACCACTACGCCTGGCTAATTTTGTATTTTTAGTAGAGCAGTAGGGTTTCACTGTGTAGGCCAGGCTGGTCAAGAACTCCTGACCTCAAGTGATCCACCCTCCTCAGCCTCCCAAAGTGCTGGGATTACAGGTGTAAGCCACTGCGCCCGACCATTAAATACTCTTTATTTTCTTCAACCATTAAAAAGACGTGGAAACCGTTCTTCTTAGTTGGCAGGCTGTATAAAAAGCGGCAGTGGGTCACATCTGTTCTGTGGGTCACAGTTTGCTAGCACCCCCCAGGTGCCCGACTTTCAGCCCAGGGCCCCCAGTGCCCGACTTTCAGCCCAGGGCCCCCAGGTGCCTGATTTCCAGCCCAGGGCATCAGTGATTATCCATAGTGGCTAGCGGGGGTACAAAAGACAGTGGACACTGAGCCTCCGCGTCTAGGTCCCTGTTGTACTTCAGATTTGCTGTGTGACTTCAGGCAACTCACTTTCCTTTTCTGGGCCTATAAATCAAAGCAGGGTAATGGCGTTCAAATCTTTTCTCTATGCATCCCCCCTGCTCCCAGGGATTTTTCCAAAGCAAAGCTAACACAGAACTCTACCTTCAAAAGCTGACCTAAAGGGCACTTGCTCTGACTGGCCGGGAATGTGGCTGGGGTCCCTGCCCACTCCCTCTCATTCCACCCCCAGGAGCCTCAGAGTCTCTGTAGAATACAGTCTGCAAACCTTTGAACCAGCCAGTCTCTAAAACCTAACTAAGGCAGTCTAAACCAGGGATTCTCAACCCCAGGGCTTGACATCTGGGACCGGATAATTCTTTGTTGTGGGTGCCGTCCTGTCCTGTATTGTAGGTTGCTACTAGATGCCAGTGGCAACCTTCCCACCCCAAGTTGTGACAAACCAAAACTGTGTCTTGGGAGGGTGGAGATGGGCAACATTACCCCAGGTTGTGAACACTGGCCTAAGCCATCTCTTTCAGGAAACCAAACCACAGAATCCTTTTGCTATTTGATGTTAAAGAACGTGCTCAGAGATCGATCCTTCCTTCCTTCCTTCCCTCCTTCCTTCCTTCTCTCTCTCTCTTTCTTTCTTTTCTATCTTCCTTTCTCCCTCTCTGTCTCTTTCTTTTTTTTTTTTTTTACCTTTTTGGGACACTGAGAAGTCACCTAGAAAAGGTGACCTGTAACCTGAGTTTTCAGGGAAGTAAGTGACCTCACCAGGTGAGGAAAGGACCTTTGTGGCCAAGGTGTGGCATTGTCCCTGGGACACAGTAAACAGTGAACTCAGGGAGGATACGGTAGGGAGCACACGAAGTGAAGCTGGGAGGTGGCCAGGGACTTGGTTAAAAGACTGCGGATGCTTGGAGACGGAGTTGTTATTCTGAGGGCGATGGGGGAGCCGTTGAAAGGTTTGGCAGGTGAGGGACTGATGGAGGCTGGTTTGGAAGCTTGAGCTGGTGTCTCATGATGGGCAGTCAGCTTGGGGCAGAGAGGCCAGTGAGAGGCAGGAGCAGTGACCCAGGTTGTCACAACGAGGGGACAATGTGGCAAAAATTAGAGAAATGCATACGGATCTGGAAGATTCAGACTGACATGGATTTCAGCAGCTCCTCTCCCCTGTCCCCACTTACTAGCTGTGAGCCCCAGGCAATGCACTTCTCTCTGAGTCTCCATGACTTAGCTGAGACAACTAAATGGGAAGAGTGTGTGCCTGGTGACCTGTAATAAGTGGGTACAAATGGCAGCTCCCTCGCCTACGCCGTTGAGGCAGAAGCTGATGACCCATTTTCTTTCTCTCTCTCTTTCTCTCTTTCTTTCTTGAGACGGAGTTCAATGGCGTGATTTCGGGTTCAAGCAATTCTCCTACCTCAGCTTCGCGAGTAGCTGGGATTTACAGGCATGTGCCACCATGCTCTGCTAATTTTTTTGTATTTTTAGTAGAGATGGGGTTTCTCCATGTTGGTCAGGCTGGTCTTGAACCCCCGACCTCCGGTGATCCACCCACCTCGGCCTTCCAAGGTCCTGCGATTACAGGTATAAGCCACCGCGCCAGTTTTCTCCTCTGAGTTGCCCAGGGGAAGCCAGGGAAAGTCTGAGTATGCTTGTTCAGAGAGGGTCACCAAGCTGCCTGGGCAGCATCGCTGACCTGATGCTGGGACCAGTTTCTGAAAGGTGGGGAAGAAGACAGCCAGAAAACCTGGGGTGGATTCCTGGATTTCAGTCAGCACTGGGGCCCAGCCCCTTCTGGTCCCAGCTGTACTGCATCCAGCTGGGTCATGAGCCAAGTGACACCTGGTCCCTACACACGGGAGGTCCCCATAAACTAGGGGAGACCCACAAATAGAGCCATCGTGTCATGCGAGGACAGACCCAGGCCAAGCCCTCAGACTCAGGTCTTATTAAATCCCAATAGCTACCCTAGGAAGGAGGTGCCATTGTCTCTGTTTTACAGAGAAGGAGGTGGCCAGAGTCTTCCAGTCTGAAAGTGGCTAAGGCAGGAAGGCACCGTGACTTGTCCAGTTCCAGGGCCTGAGCTTCCGGCCTGGCCCAGGGACTCAGGTTGCAGCAGGGCCTGAGGGTTGTGCTAGCAACACCAGCTTGTCCAGGCCTGGACCCCAATATCACCAACCTGTGACTCACTTCTGGGACTACACAGGCAGGGCGGGGAGGGTCCATTTTGACCAACGAGGGGCCCACAACACACACAGATGCCTGCCCTGCAGAAATGAGTGGAGCCAGGAGCCAAAAGCTCTGTGGCCTCGTTTCCCATTCATATCTCCCCTGAGCTCACAGGGGTGTGGAGAGGCCTGCTGGTGGCCTTCAGTCCCACCTCCAGACCGAGCAGAGCAAAGTCAAAGGAAGTCTGCCTGGTCTTTGTCTCAGCTCTGGAGACTTGCACAGACAAGCCTGTGGCCCTCTCTGAGCCTTAGTTTCCCATGAGACGAGGACATTGATAGACCACACGCACAATGAAGATGAAAAGAGGTCCCGGGTAAAAGGACTTCACCTGTGGGAGGAGTTAGTCCCAGAGAGCGCTCATGTTCTCGGGGGGAATATTTCTTCAGGGACAGAGTTTGGGGCTGGGGTCTGGGCCCTGTGACTGACCTGCTCTGTGACCTGCAGCCAGTGGCCTCCCCTCTCTGGGCTTTAGATCCCTGCTGGCCAGGCTGTTCCACCTTCTGTCCTTGGGCTGGGAAGAGAGTTAGTCACCCCCAGCTCACTGGGGAATCGAGGCGATGGCAAGGGCAAACTGGCCCCAGTCCTCCCCGCTTGCTGGAGTAGCAGGAAAAGGCAAGAACAAAACCCAGACCCCAGCTGGGCTTGGAACTGGCTTCCCTTGGCCCACATGAATTGGTCAGGTTCTCACCAGCCTGTGACTTTCTCCATGCTTTTCCTTCTGCCCAGAGGCTGCTATCCATTCCTACTCCCCTAAGATACTCAGATGGTCCCTCACAGAAGGATTCTTACACACACACACACACACACACACACACACGCACAGGTAAACTTCAAGGCTCCCAAACCCTCTCACAGATTGTAAACACACACGCACACGCGCACACGCACGCACGCATGCACGCAGGTAACCTTTCCTCCAGGCTCCCAAATCACCTGTCCACAACAACTGCCTTCAGGAGCCGCTTAACCTGCATGCTTAAGGCATCAAATCGTCACAGAACTGTGTATTAGGGATTCTCAGTCCTCCTTGATGGAGGAAGGTTTAGAGAAATGAGAAGTTAAGTCACACATCTCCAACCCCTCTCCGGGGCCTCCACTGGCTGGAGCAGTGACCCCAGTAGAGGGGAGTACTTAAATACTGCTTATTGTTGCTGAGAACGTCTCCAGGAACTGGGGTCTTGGTGGGCCGGGGAGGGTTTGCTCTCTGACTGCTGCGAAAAAGCCGGTTCCTTCAACGCAGTCTGCAGTAAACACCTCGGCAAATGACTTTCCCCTCTTTGGGCCTCAATTTCCCTTTCTGTAAAATAGGAGTGAACAGGACTGGGCTCGGGACCCCTAAGTCCTGTCCGGCTGAGCGTCGATGACTCCAAGGAGTTTGGCTCCACCATTCCCAAGTCCGCCCCGGAGCGCTCGCGGGGGCGGGACGGCCCCCAGGACGCAGGGATCCGATCCTCGCCAAGCCGTTCCGGTCAGCAGCAGCCCCGTCGCTCCCCGGGCCCTGCCGCGCTGGGAAGCCCCAGTCCCCGCCAGCCCAGTCGCGCTGGCGCTTTAAGGTCGGGCGAGGCGGGCTGGGCGACAGCGCTAGACACCTGGAGCTGCCCGGAGCCGGGGCCACCCGGAGTCTCGGCGGGACCAGGCGGCAGGCGAGGACGTGCAGGAGAGGTGGGGCGCGGGCGCGGTCAGCACCGGAGTGGAGAGAAGGCCTGGGTCCCGCGCGCCCCTGGGAGCCCTGCCGCAGCGGCAGAGCCCCGCGGGGAGCGCGCAGCCCTCGGGGCCGGCGCCGGGGGTGAGGCCGGGCTCGGGTCCCTCCGCACCCGGCACTGGCGGCCGAGAGGGCGCGGCTGGTGAGGCCTGGACGGGCCCGGGAGCCCGGCCTCGCTTTTGCGCGCTGAGAAGCAGGGGTGGGGGCGGCGGCCAGGGCCTCCCCCTAACGCCCCCGCCTCCTGCAGACCCGAGGGTCGCTGCCGGCAGGGTCGCTCTGCCCTGGCGTTCCCCGCCACCAGGCCTTCACCCGCACCCAGCTCCCCGCACGCCTGGACAGCTCCTGCCACCCGCCGCGCGATGGCCCTGCCCCAGGTGGGTGGAAACGGCCTTCTCTCTCCCTCGCAGGCACTCGGCCTCTTCTACCGCCGACTCTGCCTCTATCCCTTCCCCTAACCTCGGCCACGGTGGCTTGGTGGGCAAAGTGTGGACATCCCGGGCTCTGCCTCGTTTTTATCTTGCTGAGTGGCCTGAGGCCATGGCACTCAGGGCCTCAGTTGGGGGTGGTTTGGGAAATTCTTGTTAGGACAGTTTCATCTTTACAGAAAGTGGCATCTAAAGTGCCCTTATTGGGCCGGGTGGGGTGGCTCACCCCTGTAATCCCAGCACTTTGGGAGGCCAAGGCGGCAGATCACTTGAGGTCAGGAGTTCGAGACCAGCCTGGGCAACATGGCGAAACCCTATTTCTAGTAAAACCACAAAAATTCGCCGGGCATGATGGCCGCCACTGTAATCCTAGCTGCCCAGGAAGCTGAGGCAGGAGAATCACTTGAACCTGGGAGGCAGAGGGTGCAGTGAGTCAAGATTGTCTGACTGCACTCCAGCCTGGGAGACAGAGCAAGACTGAGTCTCAAAAAAAAAAAAAAAAGTGCCCTAGTTGGTATGGAGTAGGGCATGGAGAATGGCATAGGCTGTGCCCTGGCTCAGTGCGGGAGTGGGCGCAGGAGGGAGGCTCTGTCCTCCCAACTCTCCTGACAGGAGCAGGGCCTTTCTACTAGACTTTTAGGGAAGATGCTGCCCACTTGCCAGGGGCAGATAATAGATGCAGGCTGGCCCTGCCACCAGTGAGCAGAGAGGGCAAGATGAAGGACAGGGACTGGCACTGAACACTGCTGTGGAAATAAAAATGATCCTAATGAGATTAAATTTTATCTTAATATATTCTCATTCTCAGGAGCAATAGGGTGTTATTGTGCCCATTCCCAGGGGAGGGCACTAAGGCATGGAGAAGCAAGATCCTGCCAGCATCAGAGCAGGGTGCATCCTCGGTCCAGCTTTGTGTCCCGGTGCCTCACTTACAGCCTGCCGTCTTGCCATCGCATTTTCATAACCTGCTTTCCCCTTGATTTGAACTTGGAGATGCTGAGCAGCCTGCCTGAAGTCCCTGAGCTAATGGGGAATGACCACTGTAGTCAGAGGGAGTGATCAGCAGAGCCATCTGATTCCCGGAAAGCCTGCCTCTGGCTGGAGGGAGGTGGGGGCAGCTGCAGTTGACAGACTTCTGGGAAGGGGTGAAATGAGGGCCCTGGATGGGAGCAGAGGATGCTCCAGGTGGAGGGAGCACAGGTCTAGTAGAGAGGTTCCAGGTGAAAGGAGTTTGGGTGAGAACACCCTGCTGATAGTGACATCCCTGATCTATAATAAGGAAAACAACCACGGCATGGTGGAACAGGCTGCCCTTCATCCAGTGGACATTGACCTTCTCCACCCCACCCTCCCCCAGGGTGGCAGGTTAGCATGTGCCCTGCCTCCTGGGGTATCCACATGAAAGGAGCGAGACTCACACAGAAAATCACGCTGACCCCTTGTGAAAACATGCAAAGGGCAGTTGCAGGGGCTGGTCTGAGGCCTGGGAGGAGCTAAGCTGGGAAGGAGGGCCATGCATTCTAAAGATGGAGCGTGGTCAGGCATGGTGGCTCACACTTGTGATCCCAGAATTTTGGTAGGCCGAGGTGGGTGAATCATGAGGTCAGGAGTTCGAGACCAGCCTGGCCAACATGGTGAAACTCCGTCTCTACTAAAAATACCAAAAAATTAGCCAGGCATGGTGGTGGGTGCCTGTAATCTCAGCCACTCAGGAGGCTGATGCAACAGAACCCCTTGAACCTGGGAGGCGGAGGTTGTGGTGAGCCGAGACCACGCCACTGTACTCCAGCCTGGGTGACAGAGCAAGACTCCATCTCAGAAAAAAAATAACAATAATAAAAATGAAGAATGGAGCTGCGTGTGCCAAAGACAGGTGCATCTATTCATAGCACAATCTCAATTTTCTTTATGAAAAATAGCGATAGACCTAGCTGTGCACACACATAGGGATTTGACTCAGACTAGAGCTGGGTCCAAGTCCAGCAGTCACCCTTGTGGACAAACCGTCACCCTATTGTGGTCACCAATCGTGGACAAATTGTCGCCCTAGTGGCCACAGTGTCTTTAGGACACAGTGCTGTTGTGGGGATTAAGTGAAGGGATAGCTGTAAAGAGCTTGGCATGGTGCCCAGTCCAGTGAATGCCCAGCCTAATACATGTACAGCACACATCTGCTGCTGTCATCATCCTGTATGCAGGACACGGGGCAATGAACAGGAAACAGCCACCTGGGGATCCTGCTCGTCTCTGAGAGCCAAGATTAGTGGTGATTTGTACTTTACTTTTTTTTTTTTTTGAGAGAGAGTCTCACTTTGTTGCCCAGGCTGGAGTGCAGTGGCATGATCTTGGCTCACTGCAACCTCCACATCCTGGATTCAAGTGATCCTTGTGCCTCAGCCTCTCAAGTAACTGGGATTACAGGCGTCTCCCAGCACGCCCAGCTAATTTTTTGTATTTCTAGTAGAGCTGGGGTTTCACCATGTTGTCCAGACTGGTCTCAAACTCCTGGCCTCAGGTGGTCCACCCGCCTCGGCCTCCCAAAGTGCTGGGATTACCGGCGTGAACAACCACGCCCAGCCTGTATTTTGCATTTTTACTCTCTTCTGTGGTTTTCTCATTTTTCCACAATGAGCAGAGACTATTGTTTGATGGACAGTAAAAAGCAGCGTAGGTTGCCCCATGCAGGCCTGCCTAGCTGTGAACTCCTTGAGTGCTGAGAACCCTGCTGTATCTGGCTTTGGGCAAGGTCCTTCGCCTTTTTGGGCTCACTCTCCTCATTTGTAAAATGGGAATTTTCCTCTGGCCTGCCCACCCGTGGGGAGGCAGGTGTGATGCTGGGTGTGAAGGGGACTGTTGAGTACCGTAACATACAGGCAGGGGTTACTGTTCTTGATTTGCTAGTGTGTCTTGTTTTTTGAATTTTTTTTCCCCACAAACAGGTTTCTCCTCTTGACGGCCTCTCCTAGCTCTTTGACTTTGAGGATGGGGGGCAGGGTAGTCAGAATTTTTTTCTCCCTCCATGAAAAGGCTTTGAGCTGGAGACAGGAGGCACTTGCCCCCTAGACAGAGTCACAGGAAGAGAGCTGCAGGTAATTTATAAATGGAATTCTCTATATGCGTCTAGAGGTCTTGGGGTTCAGAAAGATTGAGGTCCACTCCCAGAGCACTGCTTTGTATACATTTTTTTTTCTCTCTCTCTCTGTCATACACACACACAAGCGCGCACACACACACACACACACACACACACGTGTGTTTTTAAACACATCTGGTAACATGCCCTTTTGAAATCTAAAGCTTCATCTACTACATCTTGAACATTTGCCACGCCCTTCAGCCCCTATGGGATCATGCCTTTGAGCGGCTGCACAGCAGTGTGTCATTTGGATCTATTGCCGTTTGGCTGAGCAAGCCCCACTTGGAAGGGATTTCTGATCACTGAAGCATCGCTTTAAGGTCTGTGGCCCCACTCCCTGCTTCACAGGCTCAGCCTCAGGAAGAGGAGACAGTTCTTCTGCAAATCCTCCTAGCAGCCCCCTAGAGAGCCTGCCTTTTATTCAATGAGGAAGCTGGCCTGGGGCAGGTGAGAGGCTTACCCCATGATACAGCTACAGAGAGGGGGAGCAAAGCCAGGACTATCCTTCATGTCCCTGCGGCTGCGGCAGCTGGAATCCTGCACTGCCTCCTCTCTCCCAGCTCTTCACAACAGTGAGGGTGGATTTTCACCCAACCAGCATTTATTTATCCAGCAACACTTTCCCTTGGATCAGAGGATTTATTGAGCAGCTATTATGTGCTAAGCACTGAGGGGATATAGTGGTGAACACGGCCAAGATGGACTTTGCACTCAGGGAACTCACAGCTGGGGGAGTGGGACAAGTGAAGCAGAAGTTAAACACAGGTTTCTGCTGTGGCAAAGGTGGCCCAGGGCACTCGGGGGTTTCAAGTTAAAGTGTCTTCAGAGAAGGCTTCTGTGGTGAGGCCGAGCTGAGCCTTAAGGGGAGTTAATGGGAAGTTACAGGTACAGGGAATGGAAGGTACAATGGGCAGCCTAGAAATTGGCTTTGGGGACAACCCAGATCTAGGTTTCAGCCTCCTACGTCTGTGATCCCGGGCCAGGACCCTTCCAGCATTCCCCTTGTGCATAGTTCAATGAGACAGCACTGTATGCATAATTTGGTATACTGAGTTGAAGAAAGTAAGATACGATGTTTCCTCCTCTTGTCAAACCTTTGTGCTGAGCTTGATGTTAAAAAAAAAAAAGGCTAATATTAATTGTTGAATCTAGACATTGTGCCATAGTTTACCCATCATTTCTTTATAATTGCACATTTTAGCACTTTCCAAATTATGACCATTATTAATAAAGCCACGATGAACATCTGTGTGTGTGTGTGAGACAGAGTCTTGCTCTGTCACCCAGGCTGGAGTGCAGTGGTGCGATCTTGGCTCACTGCAGCCTCCACTTCCCAGGTTCAGATGATTCTCCTGCCTCAGCCTCCCAAGCAGCTGGGATTATAGGTACGCGCCACCAAGCTCAGCTAATTTTTGTATTTTTAGTAGAGATGGGGTTTTGCCACGTTGGCCAGACTGGTCTTGAACTCCTGACCTCAGGTGACTGCCCACCTTGGCCTCCCAAAGTGCTGGGATTATAGGCGTGAGCCACTGCGTCGGGCCCGGTGAACATCCTTTTCCACAAAGTTTTGCTCCATGTTGCGAGTTTCAGCTTCAGACTCTTCAGCGCCCCCTCTTTCTCAGTTGCTCTGGGTCTTGGTATCTTCCTCTGTTCAATAACAGTGTCCCTCTCTCAAGATTGTGACCAGATGAAGCCAGGCATGCATAACCAGCAAGCCCTGATCCTGGCAGGCCTAGAGGTTCCAACACGGGTTCACTTTCCTCTGTCCCAGCTCCCTGTGAGGTAGTCAGCGTGGAGAGTCTTAGACCCACCAGGCAGACGGAGCCCCTGAGGCCTAGAGAGAGGCCCTGAGTGAAAGTGAACTTACTGAGTGAAAGTGAAAGTGAGCTTACTTACTGAGCTCCTGCGATGTCCCCCGATGTCCCAGGCCTGGTGCTGATCGGGCTTATCTCTGACCTTCTAAATAGCCTGGCAAAGTCAGGACATCATCTCCACTTCAAAGAGGAGGAAACCGAGGCTCAGAGGAGTTAAATGACTTCTCCAAGTTTGTGCAGTGACCTCAGGCAGCGGAGGATTAATAGCTGCCCTCCCATTTTCTCTTCTCTCTCCTTCTCTGTGTCCAGATGTGTGATGGGAGCCGTGTGGCCTCCACCCTCCGCTATTGCATGACGGTCAGCGGCACAGTGGTTCTGGTGGCTGGGACACTGTGCTTCGCTTGGTGGAGCGAAGGGGATGCAAGCACCCAGCCTGGCCAGCTGGCCCCACCGACGGACTACCCGGTGCCCCGGGGCCCCAGCCCCCTGCTCAGGTCGGTCAGCTTCGTCTGCTGTAGTGCAGGTGGCCTGCTGCTACTCATTGGCCTGCTGTGGTCTGTCAAGGCCAGCACCCGGGGGCCACCCCGATGGGACCCTTACCACCTCTCCAGAGACCTGTACTACCTCACTGTGGAGTCCTCAGAGAAGGAGAACTGCAGGTCAGTAGGGCAGGGTAGGGCAATGGGTGGGGACCACAAGTAGGGGCCAGTCACACCAGCCAGCATTTGTAATCCCAGCAAACTCTCATGGCATTCCTCCTTTGGATCAGGCCTTGCCCTGTGCCCTGGGTACATGAAAGCTGCTCAGTACAGCCCTGAAGGAGTTTATAGTCCCATGACAGAGGCTGATGATGACCAACTGGAGTAGGTAGTGCTGTGAGAGAGAGGCCTGTCTTCTAAGACATGGAGAAACCCAGGAAGGCTGCCTGGAGGAGGTAGCAGCTGAGCCCAGCTTTGTATGGGACAGAATAGCAGAGGGTTAAAAGCCTAGGCACAAGAGTCAGAGTCAGATCCACTGGGACCCTGTCCTGGTTCTATCACAAACTAGCAGTGGGGCTTTGAGTAGGTCATGCAATCCCCCTAAACTTTAATTCCTCATTTGAAATAGGTAGGACTAATAGCAACAGCAATAATAGCAAACACCTCTGCAGTGCTCGCCACATGCCAGGCACTGTTCTAAGCTTTCCTCCATACTGACTCATCCGATCCTTACAGCAGTCCTCCGAAGGTAGGCACTGTTATGAATTCCATTTGTAGAGGAGGAAACGAAGGCAGGGGGACACTAAGTCACTCCCCCAAGGACATCAGCTAGTGTGTGTCAGAACTAGGACCTGAACCCAGGCAGTCTGGCCTCAGAGTCTGTTCATGCCCACTCCCTACTTCAGGTGACGCTTGGGAAAATGAAATGACATATGTATGTTGAGCTTTAGCCCAGTGCCTGGCACACAGTAGGTGCACAACAAATGTCAACTTTTCCTCTGGTGGACACAGTGGAGAGAGGCATTTTAGGGAGGCGGAAGAGCATGCACAAAGGTGTGGGGTCGGGGACAGAGTGTTGCATGAAGACGGTCTCTCTCAACCTTTGATTTTCACTGTCGGTCTTCCCACCCTGCCTTGCGTCATCCTTCTTAGACTTTTTTTTTCTAAATCCTCCTCCACGAAATTGTAATACCCAGGTGCACTGCATATTTATGTTCTATATGCATATCTGTGCTTTATACATAAAAAGAGTGTAACTCTTCCCAAGAACCAGTGTTTGTCCTGTTGAGAATGCATGCATCATACATGCCCTTTTATGTACTTATTTATTCAACAAAGTGTGAGGTGTGCCCGTGTGCCAGGGGCCTGCGTACATTATCTCCTGTCCTTCCGATTGCCTCCAAGGTAAGAATGACTGTTGTGTCTGCAGAAAAGGAAGGGGAGGCATAGCCAGAAAGTGGCAGGAGCCTGCTGGCTTCACAGCTGACATTCTTCCTCCCACCTCGCTCCTAAGATCTGGATCCCTGGGTGTGAGGGGCTAAGCCAGACTGCCGTGAGCTGACCTGGGACCTGGGACCCGGATGCTGTTCTCCCCTGTGTTAAGTAAGAGGGAAAATGCATTCTGAGTTAAAGAATGTAGGAGCATTCCCGCCACCAACCTGTGACTTCTTAGAGCTAGAGATGGTGCAGAACAGTCGGCCCTCTGTGTCTGTGGGTCTGCATCCATGATTCAACCAACCATGGATCCTGGTTGGCACACAGTAGGTGCACAGCAAATCTCAACTTTTCCTCTAGTGGACATGGTGGGAAAGAGGCAGTCTCTGGTGGTGCCAGCTGTGGGTTACTTCAGGTCGGAAGCAAAGCCTTCCTGGGCAGATGGCTTGGGCAGGTCCCTTCTCCCCTTGGGCCTTGGCTTCCCCATTTATTCATCTACTTATTCTTTCACTCATGTACCAAATATTGATCGAGCATATGTAGGTGTGCTGGGTCCTATCCAGACAGGATCCATGAGGAAAGAATTATGTCTGTGCTAAACATATACAAACTTTCGTTTCTTGTCATCATTCCCTAAACAATATAGCATAACAACTATTTACACAGCATTTACATAGTGTGAGATATTTCAGGGCCTTGGGGATCCTCCAGCCAAACCCTTCACTTCTCAGATGAGAGACCTGGGTCTCAGAAAGACCATGTGACCTACCTGGTCATGCAGTGAGTTAGTGGTCAGTTGGAACCAGGCCGGGCCCCAGATGCTCTGGACCAGAGCCTGCTCCTCCCAGCCAGCCAGGCGTGAGTGCAGGGGTGCGTGTTGCCTGTACACACAGCCATGTTGATGCAACAGGGTCTAGGCACAGCTGTGTCTGGCAGGTGGGGCCCCTTGGCCTTCACTTGCAGTGGGCCAGGGAGGAAGCCCGCCCAGGAGGCCACAGGGTGCCCCCTAGCCCATCAAGCTCCAAGACCCAAGTTGTAGACTCAGAAACTGGGTGACTGGGGGTCGAGGAGGCCGCTTCTGCTGCGGCGCTCTTTCCTGTCCCGAGGCTGACCCAGCCCAGCTGCCTGCAGAGCCCAGCGTCTGGCCCCATGGGCGGCTGCTCTGCTATTCCTGGTCCCAGGCACCTCAGTCTCTGGTGGTGCCCGCTGTGGATAACTTCAGGTCAGAAACAAAGCCTTTCTGGGCAGATGGCTCTGACAGGTCCCTTTCCCTCTTGGGCTTCATTTCCCCATGTATTCATCTACTTATTCTTTCATGCTTGTACCTAATATTGATTGAGCACACGTAGGTGTGCTAGGTCCTACTCAGAGAACTGACAGCACCACAGCGGGCAACACAGACAAAACCCTGCCCTCAGGAAGCTCATCTCTTCAGTGTAAGTCCCCTTAATGAGGCAGCTGGAATGGGGCTTCCAGCAGTCCCTGCCCTTTCTTTTATAAGGCGGGAGTCCTTAAGGATGTTACCTAGACCCTCTGAGATGTGTCTGATGCCCCATCTCTCAGCGGGGGTGACAGACCTTTCCCCTGTGGTCACTGTCGGGCTCATATGGGGTAGAGTTAGGGAAGCGTGTGCTCTGTAGCTGGTGCACACATCCGCTTTCTCTGCCCTTCCTGTTTTAGTTTACAGTGAGCTCTCGTGCCCACTAATTGATTTGAGCCTCAACTGCTTATCAGGTAAATGTAAGGACTGGGTCCTTTTGACAGCTGAGAAAACTGAGGTGAGGAGAGATGAGGTGGCTTGGGGCAGAGGTGTGACAGGTGGACTTAGCTTGAGCTTTGCAGTCAGACAAAGCTGGGGCTTTGCCACTGAGTTGACACGTGACCTTTACTCATCTGTAAAATGGGTGCGGGCCTCTACCCCCAGGTAGAGGTCGTGAATAAGAAGATTCCAGCACTGAAGTGTTAGGCAAATTGTATTCCATCCCTTGTCCCACTTCCTGGCTTTGCCTGACTCCGCTGAAGGGTAGTGGAGCTGGCACCAGGCCCAGGTCTCCTGCTCCAAGCAGGCTCCAAAGAGTGGGGTGAGCCCTGGCCTCCGTGGCACTTCCTATGTGGGGAGACCACCATGGCCCCACGCAGCTGCAGAGGTGCCACATCCAAAGGCACCGAGAATGGGGACCTGCTCCCAGAGGGGTGCCACATGGCTGCCCTGCTCGCTGAGCTCCTGGCATCCTTGACGGTGACCTTGGTGACTTGGAGCTAGGCCGGCCCAACTGGCCACTAAGGTGATAGAGGTGGTGCGAGGGCTGCTTCACATCTGTCCTCTAAGTAAACTTCCTGCTGTGAGCAGAGCTCATGGGCACCTGTGCCCTGCCCTGCCAGCTGCCACCTGCTGGGGTGGCCCTGGGCCTATCCAAAGCCTGTCTCAGGTGTCCAGGGCTCCAAGCATGGCCGGGGCATGGCCGGGAGGTGAGCAGTCAGGAGATGGGTCTTTGGAAGCTAATTATTCACACTTTTCTGATTGTTGTGAAAGATTTTTTTCCCCGTTTTTTCTTCCCCTGAATCTGAAAGGGGAATTATTATCACCATTTTACAGATCAGGAGAAAGAGGTTCAGAGAAGGTATGAATGTGGTCCAGGTCACACAGCAAGAGAACTCAATTTGTCTGCCTCCAGGAGCAATATTCTCTGTCCTGCCCTCATCTGCAAGGATACTGGGAGCTCAGAGGAGGACGAGGACAGGCACCTCTCAGCTTCCTGGGCTGTCTTCCAGAGAAGGAAGGAAGGTCTGAGAGTTCACAGGGGCACTGGACAGGGAGTTTCATGTTTGGGACTCCTGGCTGGTGCCCTGCCCTGTACTGACTTACAGGCTGGGTTTCAAATCCAGGATCCCATAGTCTGCTCCATCACCCTGGTCTGTGGCTGGGAGCAGTGAGGCTCAGCAGGCTGCTGTGAGGCTGAGAGGACACGTTGCTGGGGAAAGGCCACGTCCCCGGCGGGTGCTGGGTGTTCGGCTGTGGGGCAGCAGCAGGTTCCCAGCAGGGGCCCCTCCGTCAACCCTGGAGCTAAGTCCCATGTACTGCCTCTTCTGTTCCCTAGACTGGCCTCTTGCCATTGGCCCCTCCTTGATCCAGGCAGTAGGACCACAGGTTTGGATTAAACTGCTTCCCAGCAGCTCCAAACCCACAAGCCTGGCAGGTAATTCGGCCTCTCTGAGCCTGTGGGGCCTGCCATGTGGGGATAAGCTTCGCTCCCCCACCCATTCCCCACAGGAGCCCTTTGAGATTCTGTTCATGACCCCACTTACATCACAGGCATTGAGTGCTGCCCTGTGTGAACTCATTTAACCTGCCCTCTGTCTGTGAGGCAGGTGCCACTATTGTCCCCCATTACAGATGAAACCAGGCCCCCATGAATGGAATTACTGATCTCTGACCCCCGATCTCCCAGCAGGAACGTGGCTGAGCAGGGAGGTGAACCAGCGAGTGCCCAGACTCACAACCACCCTTAGTGTTGGAAGAATCACCCCCAAAGCAGGAGCAGCCCACATCTAGGATCAGTGACATTCGCACCCCACTCCCCACTGTGTGTCCCAGGTGGGGAAGGGGCATTGGATCCCCGGAGACGACCCACCAGGGCTCTGAGGGCGCTGACGGCCAGTCTCATTCCTGTCAGCTGGCTGGGGCGTGGGTGATCTGCCTCGGGGTCTGTCCTGCAGAACCTCGGTCAGCGAGCCTCAGAGGACCTGGTCTCTGCCTCAAGCCCCTGTGGGGTGGTTTAGTTGGCCAGGGGTTGTGATAAGAATAGAGTCACAGGACAGCAAAACTGTCCATAGGTAGAACTGGTTGATCTGGCAAGTGGTAAGCTCTTCATCCCTGGAGGTATATGCAAGCAGAGATAATCACTTGGCAAACATCAATCATATCAAAGTGTAAAGCATCCAGATGGGCAGAGGAATTGAGGTCTTTCATTCTGCCCTGAGCACCCCAATTCTGATCTTGTACAGGATATTTTAATAGGTGTGAGTCTTTCTGTCCGTGGACCATCACTCAGTCTTTCAACAAACACCCCTCAGCTCCTGGACTCTCAGTCACTGCCCTAGGGTAAGACTTTGCCTGCAGAGAGGACTGAGGAGGCACAAGGAGGTTTGGGGGACACATACAGGGAACTAACTCTATGGAGCAGGGAGAGGGTGGCGGGAAGACTGAGGGCCACAGGAGTTGGCTCCTGCCAAGTTTCAGCTATGTATATGGGTCCCTGGGGACCCGCAAAGGCTTGGAGCAGGGTGTGAAGCCTTTTCTTCCCCCAGCCTTCCTCATTGTCTCCCTGGCAGGCAGCAGCTCTGCCCCAGCCCCTGCCAACAGCCTCTCTTCTGTTTCCACAGGACCTCCAAGGTGGTTGTCATCCCCACTTATGAGGAAGCCGTGAGCTGCCCACTGGCTGAGGGGCCACCTGCATACCCTACAGAGGAAGCCCCGGAGCCATGTGCCTCGGGGGATGCCCTGCTGGGCACACAGCCCCCCTGGCCTCCGCCCAGCTATGAGAGCATTAGCCTTGCTCTTGATGCCATTTCTGCAGAGACAACAGCAAGTGCCGAACGCGCCTGCTCAGGCCTGGCTCAGACTGCAGCGGGGGGAAGTTAAAGGCTCCTACCGGGCCCTGAATCCAGAGTCAAAAGTGCTGTGCCTCTCCGGAGCCTAGTGCAGTGCCTGGGACACAGTAGGCACTCAACAAATGTTTGTTCGAAGGCTGTTCTATTTATCTATTCCTGTATAACAAGCCACCCACAATTTAGTGACTTAAATCCCATTTTATGTCTTTATCTCAGGACTCTTATGAGTTGCCTAGGTCCAGCTGGGGCGGTTCTGCCCTCTGTGGCATGGGTGGGGCTGCAGTCCTCAGGGGCCCAACTGGCCAGAACGATCAGGGTGGCACTCCTCTGGCCAGCAGTGAGCGCTGGCTGTCAGCTGGGAGGCTGTGTACAAGTGAGAAGGCGGGCCCGCGGCAGAGGCAGAGCTGTGCGCACATCACGTTTCTAACCAGAAGAGCATGGCTCCGAATTCACCCACCTATGCATAGGCTCCACCTCGCACCTTTTTTTTTTTGAGGCAGGATCTCCACTGTGTTACCCAGGCTGGAGTGCAGTGGCTCAATCATGACTCGCTGCAGCCCCTTCCTCCCAGGCTCAAGCGATCCTCCCACCTCAGCCTCCGAAGTAGCTGGAAACACGAGCATGCCCAACTCATTTTTGAAAATTTGTTGGAGGGAGGGAGCTTGCTGTGTTGCCCAGGCCCATCTGAACTCCTGGCCTCCTGAAGTGTTAGGATTACGGACGTAAGCCACTGTGCCTAGTCTACCATGTACCATCTTAGTGACTTGGACAAGTGACTTTCCCTCTCTCTGCTTCAGTCTCCTCACCTGTAAAATGGGAATTGATTCCCTCAAAGAGCTGATTTGTGAAGAATCAATTAGATGATAGCAACTGACGTGTGAATGTGAATTCACACTGAGGCTGCAGTCAGTGGCTCCGTGCTACGGCACCAGATAATAAAGGCAGGGGTCTCAGCCCTGAGCCAGGTAGTAAGTATGCAGTCATTGTCAGTCCTGTTAGTAGAGGTAACCCTCCTCCACCAAGTGCAAATTCGGCCTCTGCTCCCATACCTCCTGTGACGGGAAGCTCGCGACTCTCGCTCATTTTGCAGATATGGCAGAAACATCGACTTCTGACCAGCTCCATTCTGCAGCCCGTCTCTAGCCCACCCCACTTCCATGAAAAGAGGTGAAGTCACCTTCCCAGGGTCACACTGCCAGCAGGGGTCCAAAGGCCTGGGGCTTAGTCAGCTGGAGAAGGGTGTCATCCGCAGAGCCTACTGTGTGCTGGGCCAGGTCCTCTGCCATTGTGTCATCTTCAAAGTGCCCTGTGGCAAGTGGTGGTGTCAGCATTTAACAGGTGAGGAACTAGCCTCGGAGAGGTAAAAGTTTCAGACAATAAAGTCACAGCTGGAGGCGTGGGGTCCTCCCTCCTAGGTTGCGTCATTGTCACAGTAGCCACCATCTAATCTGGTCTTGGTCTCTCTGCTTCTCCTGGAGGCTCCTGCAGTCTCTTCTCTGCCCAGCAGGCAGAGTGAGGTGTTCAGACCCAGGTCAGATCATGACCCCTACCCCCACAGCCAGAACCTGGCGTGGCTCCCAGCTCACTTTGAATAATGAAAGCCCAGACACTGGTCTGGGGAGAGGGGGGCTCTGAGGTCTGGTCTGAACCTGTCCTCTCTCCTGACCCTCTCATCTCCTGCCACTCCTCCCCCTGTTCTCTGCTCCAGCCAGTCTCACTGAGGCCCCCGTACTGGCTGTTCCCTCTCTCCTGAAATGCTTCCTGGGGGCTGGCTCCTCAGAAACTGGGGCTCTTTTCTGATCTTCTCCCTCCCCTATCACTAAAACCTGGATCCCTCCTGTGCCCCCTCCCTTCCTGTCCTCCACAGCCACTGCTTCGCCCTCCCCTTCTTGGTATTAACTCAGGACAATCTAGGAGTCTGGAGGCGTAGGTGTGAAGTGACCTTAGGCTGGGGACACACACACACACACACACACGGACAGGCAGGTTAGGTGAGTTAATGAGTGGCCAGTGTGACCAGGAGGCACCACTTTACTGGGCAGGTGCTAAAGGGGCGAGGGCGGGGAGGGCCGGAGGCACAGAGAGACCTTTCCTGCCTTTCTCTCCGATCCACTCATCTGTGTCCTAACCGGAAGCCCACAGGAGGGTCCATGACTTGCTCAAGGTCAACAGCGTCATGGAAGAGGCTGAGTCAGGGCTGCAGAGGGAGACAGTCTCCTGACCAAGCCATGTTACTGTCCCCTTCCAAGCCGAAGTGGCCCCGCTGTGAACGGGGCTCCTCGTGCCCACGGCAAGGTGCCTGACCATGGAGCGACATGAGGGCCAGCTCTGCCACTCTGCAGCCACATGAGGTGCCCCAGCTGTGCCACTCTGCAGCCCCCAGGAAGCACGAGTTTGCTTGCTGGCTTCTTTCCTCTTGGACCCAACCATCCAGTTTCTTCACCTACTATTCAAACCACATCTTTTGCTGGCCACCAGAGTCTCAGATGATAGGGATCCTCAGAGTTCAGGCTCTCCCAAGCTTTCCTTGGGTCCCTCCCGGGCTTCTGTTACCTGCCGGCTGGGCTGGTGATTTCTGCACCTGGAGCTCTCCACCTTAAATCAGCCCACCCCAGTCAGAAATCCCTATGCTCCCCCCTCAATGCCTCATTACTGCTCACTGGGATCTTTCTCTCTCTCATTGAAAAATTAAAATCTGGTTCTGGTCTTTCCCCTGCAACCTCATCTAACCTCTGTGAAAAATGTCGGAGATCTTAGCCCCAGGAGGTTTCCTGCCTGCGTTTCCTCTCCAGCCTCCCTCTCCCAGGCAGGCAGATTCCATTCCTCTGTTCACATTCACATCCAGAGCCTACTCTGTCCCAGTCCCTGGGAATACAGCAGTGCTCTAAACAAAGTCCCTACCCTGTGGGGGCTGGAGTGCTAGTTGGGGAGACAGAGACAAGAGACAAGATCGTCATGTATATGTATGATAGGTGGCTGTGAGCACCACGGAGAAACGTGGGGAAAGGAATACGGGGAACCCCTGGGGAGGCAAGTCTGCAGTTTTAGAGCAGGATCAGGGAAGGCCTTACGGTGAAGGCAACATTTGGGCAAGGGCCTGAAGGAGGGAAGGGAGGGAGCCCTGCAGCTATCTGGAAGAACAGCACTCCAGGCAGAAGGAACAGCAGGTGTGGGGCCCTGGGGTGCCTGTGTGTTCCCGGAGCAGCATGGGGCCAGGGTGGTGGAGTGGGTGAGTGAGAGGGGGCGTGGCAGGAGTGAGCTGAGAGGATTGATGTGCAGGTAGCGTGGGCCAGTTATCCAGAGCCTTTCGGGTTATCTTACAGCATTTGGCTGTTACTCTGATGAGATGAGGAACCATTCCAGGGCTCCATGCAGAAGAGAGACAGGATCTGACCCAGTAGTGGAGTTGCAAAGAGACTTCAGAGGTCAAGGATGGAAGCAGAGGCCAGGTCGGGAGAGAAACAGATGATGGAGGCTCAGACCTGGTGATGAGCAGTTGTGGGTGAGAAGTGACTAAATTCTTATATGTTGGGGGTAGAGCCCACAGGATGTGGGTGTGAGAAAGGAGGTGAGGTTGGTTCCCTGGATGGCTAACTGGAAGGATGGGATTGTGGGAGGAGCATGTCTGGAGAGGAGGAGGCAATGCAGACAGCCTGTGCACGGGGCTTAGAGCTTTCTCTCCAGCCGTGTGGGCGGTTAGGTGCTGCAGTGCCTTTGCACATGCTGGCCTCTGTGTCTGGAAGGCTCTTCCTGCCCTGTCAGACTCCAACGCCTTCGCAACGGTCCCTTCTGTGAATCTGCCCCTTCACCCTTCATCCCCATCTGTTCCTCCCTCTGTTTTGTGCACCTTCAGGACCCTGCACACATCGCAGTGCCATTACCACACTGTGCCCCAGAAGGTGCCCCAGAAGTTAGGACTGAGCGCCATTCATCCTCTGTTTACGAGTTCCTAACACCTCAGTGTCCCCCACACAGTAGGGGCTCAACCAGAGATTCTGAGGACGTGGGTCGACTCCTAGCTCTACTGTTTGTTCCCAAGTTCTGCCACGTTGGGTCGCTCTCCTTGCCTGCACGGGCCGGGGTGTCCACCTCTGTCAAGTAGGGTGCTCTCTCCCTCCCTGCCTCGGGGCGTCTGGGGAGCCCGCTCGGAGGATCCCGAGAGCAGGGGTTAGCGCGCCCTCTGCCGGAGGACGACAGGCTCCGCGCGCTCTGCTTCCCCGTCCCCACTTGGCCCGGGGAGGTGCAGTCAGAGGGAGCGGACGGCGGGAGATGAAGGGGAGCTGCTGCACCCGGACTTTTCCAGCGCACCCTGCACACTTGTCCTCATTTAATCTCCAGCGCGACTCTGTGGAAGAGCTTAGGTGACACCCATTTTCCTGCGCGCCGACTTGTTTCCTACTTGTTACTGAGTTTCTTACTGGTTGTTATTTTTTTATTTTATTTTATTTTTTTAAAGGAGAGAAGCAACGCTGAGAGAAAAGGGGCAAAGAAGGCTGTAAAGGAAGGAAAAGGCGCGAGAGGAGGAGAGTCCCCGGGTGACCGCGAGGCCGAGGAATGGCTGAAGACCAGATCCATCTGCATGGGGCTGGGAGGGGGTCCCGTGACCGCTCAGTCGCCGACTCCGCGGAGGGAGACTTTGACCAGCCCCTGCCCCTCTGCGGGCTCGGTTTCCTCGCCTGTGAAACGGGGCCGAGGACTCTCCTCCCCGCGGCGACTGCTCTTCACCGGGTCCGAGCCCAGCCACCGCCCCCGGGGGAGGGGCCTTGCCCAGCGCGAGCTACGACTGCCGCCGGGGGCGCACGAGGTCCTGCGGGACCGCGGCTGCGGAGACCGTTCCCGCCGCCCGCCTGGGCTCCAGGGCTGAGGTCCCTGGGGCCTCCGTCTCCTTGCCAGGGAGGGGCACTGGCTAGGTGACACGGGACTCGCCGTTTCCCTTCTCTGAGCCTGTAGCAAATGATAATAACATTTCCCTAGAGGGTCTTGCTTTGTTAATAGTCAGATTACAAAGCACTTGTCCCTTCCCAGCCCTTTATGTCCCTTCCCTGTGCAAAACGTGGGAGGCGGCTCAATAACTATCCCTGATCTGCAGGTGACAAAACTCAAGCCCGGAGCAGAGCTGAGAACCAGTCCTGGCCATGACCTGATCACTCAGCCGTTTCCTGCCCCTCAGCCATCGCTCAGCCAGCGCCCCTGAGCTCCCTCCTGGACCTCCTCTGCAAACCGTTAACTCTGTACCGTGTAAACTGTAAAGTGTAAAGCCCACTCTGAGGGCTGGCGATGGTGGGTGCGAGGAAGGAGAAACCCCTCTTGGAAAAAGAGCCTGTGGGAAGGACCACCGGTTAGAGGGGCAGCTGTGAGCACAGGTGTGGGGCTAGGGAAGAGCGCCGCCCTGCTGGCCGGAGGGAGAAGGAGCTGACGCCATCAGGCAATCCCCAAGCCCCGCAAGTCAGTGAGCCAAGTGAAGGCCTTTGATCCTGCATTGGTGGTTTAACCCCATATAAACGCCAAGTGAACGTTCTCTTGTGGAGTCTGATGGTCTTCATTTTCCTGTAATCCTGTAAAGGAATCTGATTTCTTCCATCAGCCTGTCCCCAGGACTAAAACGCCTCATTAGTGGTATTCTTAGGAAGGCGTCTTCCTAGATCAGGCAGCAAGGAACTGGAGAAAGTGGCTGTCATGGTCACTTACACCCTGCAGGGTCATTAATTCCCAGAGCCTTAGAGGTGGGTGGGAGGCAGCTCACTGAAAGCAGACCTGAGTGGTGGACAGTGTGTGAATGTGAAGGGGACAGAGAAACCCAGGGAGGCCAGGCCTGGAGACGGCCTGGTACTGGGAGGTACCATTATGATTCCCATTTTACAGAGGAGGAAACTGAGGTACAGGCATCTAAAGGTATCCTTTAGAGTTTTCATGTATTCCTAGCCGTATGTGTAATTTGGTGATGGGAAGAGCACTGGTTTGGGTTTCCTGGATTCTAGTTCAAGTCCTGTTCCAAACTCTCTATGACATTTGTCTTTCTGAGCCTCATTTTTTTCATCTGCAAATGGGACCCCAGCCCCTATTTTGCACAGAGCTTCACAGGGTCATTATAAAGATAAGAGAAGGCCAGGTGCAGTGGCTCATGCCTGTAATCCCAGCACTTCGGGAGGCTGAGGCAGGTGGATAACCTGAGGTCAGGCGTTAGAGACCAGCCTGGCCAATATAGTGAAACCCTGTCTCTACTAAAAATACAAAAATTAGCTGGGCTTGGTGGCGCATGCCTGTAATCCCAGCTGCTCGGGAGGCTGAGGCAGGAGAATTGCTTAAACCCAGGAGGTGGAGGTTGCAGTGAGCTGAGACCACGCCGTTGCACTCCAGCCTGGGTGACAGTGTGAGAATCTGTCTCAAAAAAAAAAAAAAAAAAAAAAAAAAAAAAAAAAGAGAGAGAGAGAAAAGGTGATGTGTAACCTGATCATGAACACGCTGTCCCACAGGAGAGGAGCCAGAATCCAGACCCAGGCAGCCTGCCTCGCCAACAGAGCTGCACTGTTCAGATGCTGGAGTTAAGCAGCATCACGCTGTGGCAAGGCCCACGGCCTCTGGGTTCACGTCCCACTAGCTCTGCCATCTCTAGCTGTGTGACCTTGGGCAGGTTACTTGTCTGTGCCCCAGGGTCCTCTCTGGAGTGGGGATACTAGTAGCTGCCTCATGGGGTTCCCTTCAATGAGTTAATAATAGCTGTAACATGTTTAGAATGGTGCCATGCACATAGTCACCTGCCGGTAAATATGTGTCATTATGCCTGAACCCCGGCGAGGCACATGTCCTGGGAGAGTGTAGAATTCTTCAGGATTCTGAAATGCCAGCCTGTGGGACCCTGGAATCCTCCAGTAGCAGCATTCTAACCTCTCTTGTCTGCGGAACTGAACCCTGCTTCCCAGAGCTGGAAGGTGTGGGGCTGCCTGTCCACCCAGCTCAGCCCCATGGTAGGCAAATGAGGTGATGTCAAAGCCTTGGCTGGGGCCCAACCCCCGTAACCTCCCACTCTCCCTCCCCTGCGTGCTCCCTCACTCAGATTCACACACGCTCCAGACCTGCCGGGCCCAGAGGGAAGGTGAGAGGGCGAGGAGTGAAGGTGGCTGGGTGGGTATGGGGGTCCGTTGAAGTGAGCCGCCTCCAGCCGTGTTGAACTGGTGGGCCCAGGGACCAGAGCTGGACCGAGAGGGATCTTGCTCTCCCCTGAAGCCTTGAGCTGTAGTGATTTCAGAGTGTCTTCTCTCCTTGTGTGAGCCTGTCTGGGTGTTTAGGCTGAACTGCAGCCACCCCTCTGCCGGGGGTGTGCAGGCCAGGGCCTGGCCAGGCAGCCATGGCTGATGAGAAGACCTTCCGCATCGGCTTCATCGTGCTGGGGCTTTTCCTGCTGGCCCTCGGTACATTCCTCATGAGCCATGATCGGCCCCAGGTCTACGGCACCTTCTATGCCATGGGCAGCATCATGGTGATTGGGGGCATCATCTGGAGCATGTGCCAGTGCTACCCCAAGGTAGGTGGCAGTGGGGCTGGGTAAGGCTAGGTCACCTGGGGCCAGGAGGGCTGGACACTGTGCCTTTATGCCATGACTCACCCACACCATCCTTCAGTTGTATTTTCATTCTTCTCATTTTGACTTGGTCTTCTGTCTGCTCTCCTGAGCATCCATCCCATCCATCCATCCATTCATCCATCCATCCATCCATTCATCCATCCATCCATCCATCCATCCACTCACCCATCCATCCACACACTCACCCACCCACCCATTTATCCATCCACATGCCCACCCATCCATCCACCCCTCCCTCCCTCCTTCCCTCCCTCCCTCCCTTAGCCTAAGGGTTGATCAGAAGGCCCCTGGGTCTGGAGCTCTGAACCAGAAGCTATGGTGTAGACACAGTAAAGTGCAACACGCCGTTCATGAGCTTAAAACAAAAGCTAATGAACGCTGAGCAGCTGGTGGGCACTCCTACATTCAGGGTGCAGTTCAGCCCTCATCCTAAGTCTTTTGGTGCCTTCTGTAGTTCCACATTCTGAGCCTTTCTGAGGTCCAGAAGGAGAGGCCCCAAGCTAACAAGCAAGGTTTGGATTGGAGCTCAGATGCGTGTGACTTATACATCATCCGTCACCTTGGGTCTTCTACCTCTGGGTCCCAGAGTTGCCGAGAGCTCTGGGGTAGGTCAGGTCTAATCTTGGTGGCATGCGCTGGGCAGTATCCTTTAGAGTCTTCATGTATTCCTAGTCTATGTGTAATTTAGTGATGGGAAGAGCACTGGTTTGGGAGTCCTGGGTTCTAGTTCGAGTCCTGTTCCAAACTCTCTATGACCTTTGTCTTTTTGAGCCTCATTTTTTTCATCCGCAAATGTGACCCCAGCCCCTATTTTGCACAGAGCTTCACAGGGTCATTTTAAAGATCAGAGAAGAGGTGAGATATAGGAATATTTTGTAAACTGTAAGGTGTCATATATAGATGAAGGGCCACCACTGTTACTGATACTGGTCCTCCAAACAGCTCTGTGCAATGGAAATGGCAGGAGTTGTAAACCTTCAACGTCTAGAGAGCCTAAGTGACTTCCAAGGTCACATAGCTGGTCAGGTACAGACCGGGGAGTAAAGGAGGGAAATAGGGACTCTAACTTGGACTCTGTCTCTAACTGCCTGGGAGACTTTGCTCACGCCCCTTTCCTCTCTGAGCCTGTTTCCTCATTTGTACAATGTGTGAGTTAGGAGGAGTGGTGGGGAAGTGGGTATATCTCGGGGTCCTGCTGGACCTAACATCTAGGGTTCCAGGCCCAGGCAGACCCCAGCAACCCCCACACCTCCTCTCCTCCCACCTGGGTGACTGTGCTCAGGGCTTCAGGGAAGGAGGGGGATGGCTTCTGGAGCCTGGGCAGGCTCTCCCCAGCCCTGCCCCCTCCACAGGCCAGCCCTGGGCTGTCATTCCGTTCAGTGCTGGAGCGGTCTGGGCTGGTTTGTAGTCATTTAGCAGGCAGTTTACAGTCAACTTGCCTCTGTCTATGCAATTCCCTGAGCAGAGGTCATCAGGAGAAATCCTTGGGGCCAAAGCCACCCATGTCACCACTGCCATCGTAATCCTTCTCCCAGTGAGGAGGCTGGACCCTGGGGGACAGCAGAGGGATGGCAGGGGTGTGGAGGGGAGCATCCTTCCTACCCTCCCCTCTTAACTAGAGGGGCTCTGGGGTGGTGGGCAGGTTGATGGGAGTGGTGGTGGAGGGGGAGGGGAGGATGGAATATTGCTGGTTACTAATGAGTAACTGTTGATAGATTCATGTGTTCATGTGCTGTGGAGGCAGCCAGGGGGACGGGAAATGGCACATGCTGTAGTGACCTCCAGGCCCAGATTCAAATCCCTGCTCCTTCATGTTCCACTTCTGCGACCTTGGCAGAAGGAGTCCCCCCATCTGCTCCCCAGCTCTGAGCCTTGTACGGCCGATTGGGAGAACACAGTGGGATCGTGTGTGTGTGTGTGCGTGTGTATGTGTGTGTGTGTGTGTGTGTGTGTGTGTGTGTTGGGGGAGACCTGGAGACCTGGCACCGTGCCTGACATGGAACACATGTGAAGGCATTGCTCTCAGGATTGAGGATTGGTATTTGTGGCACTGGGCGGGTCTCTGCGTGAGTGCAGGTGTGTGTGGGTGTGTGTTTCAGAGACGCAGGCTGATAGAGTCAGCACAGGCTGACTCCAGTAAGGGAAGAGAGGAAAGCACATTGCAAACCAGGGAGACACTCAAGCGGCAAAGCTCCCTGGATCCTGTGTGGTCTCACTGGTGCCTGGGCCAGCATCGCCTGCGATGCTCATGCCTGTCCTGCCCTCAGCCTCTTCTCCTGGCTCTCTGTGCCGGATCCGTGGAAAGTTTCAATAAATGGGGAGATATAAATGTAAGGAAATAGAATCAGCTAATTAGAATACAGGGGTGAGGGGCAGCCAATACCAACATGCATTAAGCTGCCCATGTCTTTTAGGGGCTAGAGGTCTGGTGGGAGAAACTATTTGCTGCCTGATGGGGAGGAAATAGGCTTCACAGAGAAGGTGAGCTGACCTTTGTAGGTGGGATAGGAGTTCACCAGGCAGAAAAGAAGGGGACAGACATTCCAGGCAGATGAGCAGCATGATCAAAGCGATGTAACTGCTAAGTAAATTATAGCAATATGGTGAAAGAATCAAAACAATGTGGTGAAAGAATAAAGCAAGGGGAGGAAGGTAACGGTGGAGAGAGAGTGGGGCTCAGCTCTTCAGAGCCTGGAATGCCATGGTAAGGAATCTGGAGCTGATCCTTTAGTTAATGGGACATGATCAGCTTTGCAGTTTGAGAAAGACATCCAGAAGGACAGTCTGGGGGCAGCCATACCAGCGGGGAGGCTTCTTCTCTGGTCCTGGTGAGAGCTGACAGTCATCTGGACTAATGCAGAATTTAAACCGAAAGCTGTAGGAACTCAGGTGACATTTACAGTTCACTGCACGTAGAGTACCTGCTGTGGCTAGGCATAGCACTAGCACTTCCACCCAGGTTATCTTAATGAATTTCTAAAGTGGACCTGGTCAGATTTGGTGGCCAGCTGGGCCCCAGGCATGACAGAAGAGAAGGGACCAGGACAAATCAAATCTAGTGTACACGGCAGTTGGAGGTGCTGAGCCCGTTAGTGAAGATGGGCCTGGGGAACCGTGAGCAGGGATAGGAGTGGCAGGGAGAGCAGGGTCTGTGCCGACACATCCCCCATTCCTCACTCCTGCCTGCTGTGCTGGAGCCCAGGACCAGGAGCCCACTGGTGGCCTCCCTCCTCTGGAGATGGCTCAATGTTCTGCCTAAACACAAATCTGAGTGTACTCTCCTGCTGAGAACTCCTTCAGGACTCCCCATTGCTTCTGGACAAAGGCTAAGCTTAGTTTGATATTCTGGTGGTCTCCATGGTCTGATATCCCCTCCCCAGCTTCAACTCTGCCTATTCCTACTCATCAAAAAACTTGTATTTTAAGATGCTCCATCCTCTCCTTCTCCAAGCTTTTCATAGGGAAGGTGATGATGATAATGATGGTGATAATGAGAGTGTGGTGGGGATGGTGAGGGTGAGAATGGCAATGGTAACAATGATGATGATGTCAGTGATGGTGCTGGTGAGGATGATGATGGTGAGGATGGTGATGGTGAGGATGATGATGGTGAAGATGGTGATGGTGAGGATGATGATGAAGATGATGGTGAGGATGGTGATGGTGAGGATGATGATGGTGAAGATGATGGTGAGGATGGTGCTGGTGAAGATGGTGATGGTGAGGATGGTGATGGTGAGGATGATGATGGTGAGGATGGTGCTGGTGAGGATGGTGATGCTGAGGATGATGATGGTGAGGATGGTGCTGGTGAGAATGATATGGTGAGGATGGTGCTGGTGAGGATGATGGTGAGGATGGTGATGTGAGGATGATGATGGTGAAGATGGTGATGGTGAGGATGATGATGGTGAGGATGGTGATGGTGAGGATGATGATGGTGAGGAATGTGATGGTAAGGATGGTGATGGTGAGGATGGTGATGGTGAAGATGATGGTGAGAATGGTGCTGGTGAGGATGATGGCAAGGATGGTGATGGTAAGGATGATGATGGTGAGGATGGTGATGGTAAGGATGGTGATGGTGAGGATGGTGATGGTGAGGATGATGATGGTGAGGATGGTGATGGTAAGGATGGTGATGGTGAGGATGGTGATGGTGAGGATGATGGTGAGAATGGTGCTGGTGAGGATGATGATGGTGAGGATGGTGATGGTGAAGATGGTGATGGTGAGGACGATAATGGTGATGATGGTGATGATGATGGTAAGGACGGTGATGGTAAGAGTGGTAATGGTGACAATGGTGGTGATGATAATAATGATAATGATGGTGAGGATGGTGAGGATGATGATAATGATCATGATGGTGAGGGTGGTGATGGTGAGAATGGTAATGCTGATAACGGTGATGATGATGGTAATGGTTATGATGGTGACAATGATGATGATAGCAATGGTGGTGATGGTAATTTTTGTGGTAATAAGAGTTATGGTGATGATTGATGGTAATGAGGATGATGATGGTGATGGTGAGGATGATGGTGCCGAGTAGGCTATGAGGTAATGAGCAGAGGAAGAGGCAGCTTCTAGGAAGTACAGTACCAGCTAGGAAGTACAAGGCATCCTTAGTGGGGGTGAAAGATGCCCAGATCCCTGTCTTAGTTTTCCTTCTTTCCTCCTTCCCTCCCTCCCTCCCTCCCTCTCTCTCTCTTCTCTTCTCTTCTCTTTTCTTTCTTCCTTCCTTCCTTCCTTCTTTTCTTTTCCTTCCTTCCTTCCTTCTTTTCTTTTCCTTCCTTCCTTCCTTCCTTCCTTCCTTCCTTCCTTCCTTCCTTCCTTCCTTCCTTCCTTCCTTCCTTCTTTCTTTCTTTCTTTCTTTCTTTCTTTCTTTCTTTCTTTCTTTCTTTTCTTTCTTTTTTCCTTTCTTCTTTAGAGACAGGAGCTCAGTCTGTCACTTAGGCTGGAGTGCAGAGGCGCAATCATAGCTCACTGCAGCCTCGAACTCCTGGGATCAACCAATCCTCCTGCCCCAGTCTCCCAAGTAGCTGGGATGACAGGCGCACACCACCACACCCGGCTAAGTTTGTTATTTAATTTTTTTTTCTTTCTTTAGAGACAGGGTCTTGCTTCATTGCCCAGTCTCTCTGCCTTATTTCTAGATATCTAGGGGAAGCTCGCTCCTCATAGGAGTTCAAAGGCCCCCTCCATCCATCATTTCCTTCTCCCCATCAGAATGGAGCTTTCTTAGTGCAAACAATTGTCTTCTACTTACTTCATTTTATGGGAAGTGAAATAGGGAAGTGCTTGTGAATCTGGTATAACACAGTAGGGTCTCAACAAATATTTGTTGGAAAATTTTCAGCTGAAGAGACTTAGGGAAGTCAGACAACAGAATCATCAGTAGCATCAAGTTATGATTTACTGAGCAGTTACTATGTGCTGGGCACCATGCTGAGGGATTCCCTACATATGATCTCATGAAATTTTCACAGCAACCTCAGGAGGCAGGCATAACTAGCCCCATTTTAAAAACTTGTGGTAAAATACACGTAACATAAAATTTAGTGTCTTAAACATGTTTAAGTGTACAGTACAGCTAAGTACATTCACATTGTTGTCCAACCAATTTCCAGAATGCTTCGCGTCTTGTAAAGCTAAAACTCTATACCCGTTAAATAACCTCATTACTCCACTCCCTAGTCCCTGGCAACCACCATTCTGCTTTCTTGCTCTATGGATTTGACTATTCTAGGTGCCTCAGAAAAGTAAAATCATACAGTATTTGTCTTTCTTTCTTTCTATTTATTTGAGACAGAGTTTCACTCTTGTTGCCCAGGAGTGCAATGGCGTGATCGAAGCTCACTGCGACTTTCACCTCCCAGGTTCAAGTAATTCTCCTGCCTCAGCCTCCAGAGTAGCTGGGATTACAAACATGCACCGCCACGCCTGGCTAATTTTTTTTGTGTGTGTGTGTGTTTTTAGTAGAGACAAGGTTTCATCATGTTGGCCAGGCTGGTTTCGAACTTCTGACCTCAGGTGGTCCACCTGCCTCAGCCTCCCAAAGTGTTGGCATTACAGGCGTGAGCCAATGTGCCCAGCCCAGTATTTATCTTTCTGCTCAGCATAATGTCCTCAAGGTTCAGTGATGTTGTAGTGTGTGTCAGAATTTCCGTCCTTAAGGCTGAATAGTATTTCGTTGTGTGGATAGACTACATTTTGTTTATCCATTCATTCACCAGCGGATTCTTGAATTGCATCTACCTATTGGCTCTTGTGAATAGTGGTGCTCTGAACATGGCTATGCAAGCATCTCTTTGAGGCTAGCCCCTTTATACAGAGGAGCACAGAGAGACTGGGAAGAGAGCTGACCTGCCTAGGGCCCACAGCAAGGGCCTGGCAGAGGAGGGATCCTCAACCCGTCTCCCAGTCCCCACAGGCAGAGCTCCTCTCCCTCACCCACTGCTTCCTTCATGATCTGCCTCCTGCTGTACCACGTAGTGCCCTCCTAGGGCTGGACTTGCAGAGACCTCTTCATTCCTGAAAGTTCAGGGACAGGGACTGGTGGGCATAGCTTCTCTGTCACCTGCTGCAGCCCACGTGCCAAAAAGCACATGAGAATGGCTTGCTTTCCACTCATCCACCAAATATGGATGAAGGACCTACTATGTGCCAGGCATGTGCTGGGCACTGGATGAAGACCCCTGGGAAATGACAAGGTGTGAGCTCCCCAAGGACAGCGTTGTCTCTTTCACTCCCTGCTGCTCCTACTGCCTGTGACAGTGCCTACGCACAGCAGGTATTCAATAAGTTGAGTGAATGAAGAAGAACCAGGGAAGGAGCAGGAGAGCAGAGGTTCACCCTCCCTCTGGCGCTGTGCCCCAAGCAGGCCCCTCTCCTGCCAGGCAGAGAGGCCTCCATGGTGCAGCCTGTCTCCCAGGGTGCGTGGAGAGGTTTGCCGATTCCCTGGGGGCACAGCGACCCCCACCCTGGTCAGCTGCACCGAGACTGTCTCTCCTTTGCTTGCAGATCACCTTCGTCCCTGCTGACTCTGACTTCCAAGGCATCCTCTCCCCAAAGGCCCTGGGCCTGCTGGAGAATGGGCTTGCTGCCGAGATGAAGAGGTAGGTGCCAGGCCCTCTGGGCAGGGGAGCAGTAAGCCCCATCGGCAGTCTCCCCTGACTGAGGAGAGTGGGAGAGAGGCCGGGAAGGCTGTTTGCCTTCTCACTTACTGAGAGGGTGTCGTTATAAATTAGGGACTGTTTTTAACTCTCAATTCTGTGAGTCAGGTGTTATTCTTTCCATGTACAGATGAGGAAACTGAGACTCAGGGACTTTGTCTTGTCAGGGACAAAACAGTATGTTACAGGGAATACAAGATCTCCATGGAGCAAATCATACAGGGAAACGTACTGTGAGAAACACAGTGAAATAGCCACAGGAGTGACTGCTAGGCATGGTGATGGCCAGGGCACTGCCCTAGGGCTCTGCTGCCCACTCGCTGCACGACTTCGGGCAAGCTACCGACCTCTCTTTGCCTCGTCTGTAAAATGGGGATACTAATAGTGCCTATCTCCTAGGGCTTCAGGGAGTGTTAAGTGAGATAATGTATGTGGAGTGCTAAGAACAGAACCTGACATGCAGTAGGTCTTCTATGAGTGTTTGTCATCATTAGTGAGTGCCTTCTGTGTACCAGAGACTGAGTCAGGCATGTGCACCCATCATTTCCATCAGTCCTCTAGAAACCCTGTGGAGGTAGGGATGTTAGGCCCTTTATACAGATGGGAAGGTTGAGGTTCAGAGAAGTGTAGTCACAACCCCAAACCTCATGGGGAGTCAGTGATGGAAGCGGGGCCTGAACTCAGCAGTGACAGAGGCGATGTCTGAACTCAGGCCTGACCTGGCCACAGACTGTTTCCTTCACTGGAGGTTTTGAGCTCTGGCTCCCATGGCACAGCCAAGAATGCTCCAGCTCTGGAGAGGCTGTGGGGCCACCAACCCCCTGGGCTGTGACTCTGCGCTCAGGAGGCCTGGCTTCAAGCCCAGGGTCTGTCGGCTGAGTCGGGGATGCTCTCTGCTTTGCTTGGGAAAGCGGATGATAATGGCATTTTCTGCCCCGGCACATAAGGTGAACAGCTGTCTCAGTGGGAATGAAGGGAATACACCCAATGGGTATGGAGGCCAGCCTGGGGTCCGTCTCAGGACTGGTTACTTGGGGTGGGCTCCTGTGACGGGGCGGGGGCTCAGGCCACCCTGGGTTCTGAGCTCTTCCCTGTCACTTCCAGGCTGTGTGACCCGAGGCAAGGGCCCTAGTCTCTGAACCTTACTTTCCAGAAGGACTGTAGCACAGTGATAGAGAAATGAAGCCTGGAGCTCCAGTGCCATCACCTAGGGGCCGTGTCACCTGAGTACTAGTCTGTTAGAGACTCTGTGCCTCAGTTTCCTCATAGTATCTCTTGTAATTATGAGAAGGATTAGATGAGCCAACTAACAGAGCCTGGCAGGAAAGGGGCGCCCATTGCTGTAGACCATTGTTGCTGGGTATGTCCTCATCTGTAAAACGGCAATGAGAATTTCTCCCTCAAGGCATTGTCTAGAATAACGGGTTGATAAGCGTGCAGCCTTTACCCACCATCTGGGAGCCAGCAAACTCAATGTTAACTGCTCTTCATTTTGCAATTGCATCTTTATGGTTAACTTTGGAGACATCAAGTGAAAAGAACACTGGATAGAGAGTCAGACTTGGGGGCAGGCCAGAGCTTTGTCACTTCATTTACTCACTTTGCTGGGCCTCAGCCTCTTCATCCCTGAAATGGGAGCAGTAATATACCCCAAAGCCTTCTTGTGAGATGAGGGGAGACCACATACCCAAAGCAAACCGGTCGGGGGAGAACACTGCTGTTTGCTGAGCGACTCTCTGTCCACCTGCCTGTTCTCTCTCCGTCTCTAGCCCCGGTCCCCAGCCCCGCTATGTCCGGCTGTGGGGGGAAGCTGCCTATGACCAGAGCCTGCCTGACTTCAGCCACATCCAGATGAAAGTCATAAGCTACAGTGAGGACCCCCGCCCCTTGCTGGCCTCCGAGACGGGACAGCCGAAGCTGGGAACCAGTGATGGAGAAGGTGGCCCCGGCGACGTTCATGCCTGGACAGAGGCTGCCGTGGTCATCCACAAGAGATCAGATGAGAGTGAAGGGGAAAGAGGGCTAACTCAGAGCTGCCTTGAGTGAGTGCTCAGAGGGCAGGAGTGGGGTTCTGCCCAGTTCAGGGGTTAAAAAGGAGAGGAGCGGGGGACCACCAGGAGGTGGGTGGGGACACTGGGAATAAGGAGGAGGCAGTGGAGTGTGTGGGATGTCCTGAGATGTGGCAGGTGTGGCAGACAAATGAGCATGGGCTTGGGAGTCGGAAAGGCCTTGGTTCAAATCCCAGATCCGGTGCTGTGTAGCTGTGGTAATTTCCTTACTTTCCGTAGCCTCAGTTTCCCCACACAGGAATGATCATTCCTGCTGCCCAGGAATGTTGAGATTGAGACAGTGCATTTAAATGCCTGGCATACAGCAGCCTCTTGCTGGCTCTGAGTGCTTGTTGTGAGTAGCAGGGGGCCAGGAGCCAGGGGACCTGAGTTCAAATTTGGATCTGCCTCTGACCTGCTCTGTGACCTTGGGCAAGGCACTCTCCACTCTACTCACATCCCTGTCTGTCTGTGAACTGGGTTCCTCATTCATCCGTGTATCTATTCATTCCATCCACATTACTCAGCACCAACTCCCTGCCCAGCCTTCACTGGCATCAACCTCTGAGGAGCTAGCTCTGAGTCCAATGGGGGAGGCAAAGACACAGAGAGACACCCCAGAGTAACTGGGCCTGTGAGCAATGCAGGAGAACCTGAATAATTGGAGAAGTAGATGAGTGACCTGGTTCAGATAATAACATAATAATAGCCCTAATTCTTGAGCACCTACTATGTGCCAAGCACCTACTCTGTGCCAGGCATGGAGGAAAAAGCTGCAGGAGTGAATACTGGTATTTCCTCCACTTTACAGGGGGAGGAAGCTGAGGCATGGGAAGGTGGATTAACCTACCCTAGGCCTTGCAGCTAGTGGCTGGTATGTGGACCCAGCCATTCTGACTCATAGATGCCCTTACCTTGTGGTTCTTGCCCCTGCAGCCCCCCAGCCTTTCCTGAGGGCCCTGCCCCCTTGGCTTCCTTCCAAGATGACCTGGACATGGGCTCCAGTGAAGGCAGCAGCCCCAACGCATCTCCACATGATGGGGAGGAAGTTTGTTCCCCACAACAGGAGCCCTGGGCCTGCAGGTGCCCGCTGGACTGCTTCCAAGACTTTGCCCTGATTGATGCCCCAACGTTGGAGGATGAGCCCCAAGAGGGGCAGCAGCGGGAGGTAGTCCTGCCCAACAACTGGCAGCAGTACCCAAGGACAAAGGTGGAGGAGAAGGAGGCTTCGGACACAGGTGGGGAGGAACCCAAGGAGGAAGAGGAGGACCTGTACTATGGGCTGCCAGACGGCCCCGGGGACCCCCTCCCAGACAAGGAACTGGGTTTTGAGCCTGACACCCAGGGCTGAGGTGGTTGTGCTCCATAGCTTCTAGTCTGGAACTGCTGCTAACCCCTGTGTGATAGCACAGGGCCTCAGTTTCCCTATCTGCAAAATGGGATGATATGGAGGTTCAAATGAGATGGTGGCATTTTGAGGATGGTAAAGAAATGCACAGGGAGGGGATGATTACTACCAAAGGACTGTTGTTTTTCTAATAGTTGTCTTCAGCCAGCCTTTGAAAGCAAAATGTGATTTGTTGAGGTTTGCAGCAGCTGTGGCCCTCAAAAGCATTTTCCACCTCCCCCCAAAGCTGGCCTCTGACAGGGACCTTCCTTGGTGCTTCCCCTGGGCCCCTGATCCTTTGTGAAGGTCTCTCAGGGTTCCCGTTACTATTGTGTCTTATAGTCTGCTTGGTAGATGGCGTGATCCATCTTCATGCAAAGGGAGCCTCATCTCCTCCTGGGCCACATTCCTCCTGCAGCTTCCATTCCTCCTTTGCCAGGACCCTAAACCTCCTGTGACTGACCCCTGCTGACCTCATTCTCTCTGCTCCTCCAATTCCTAGCCTGGCCCCCCCACCCATCTTGTGGCTCACATTCTTGCCCAAGCTGTTTTCCTCCACCAGGATGCCCTTGGCTCCCTTTTCAGCTTGGCAAATTCATACTCATCCTTCAAACCTCTGCAAAATTGGCCCCCCTCGGAAAGGTTTTCCTGATGTCACTGCCTCCTGGAACCAAGCAGTCTTGCTTTTCTGCACTGCCTCTGGGACCTGTACATTTATCAATGTGGCATGGCTGCCTGCCTCCCATAAAGGGCAGCATCTTGACTTTACCTGCCTTGGAAATCTCCTGTGCCCAGATGGGCTTTTCTGGCCTGGCCCAGAACTGGTGGTCATCAAGGGTATACAGAACTCACCAGGACCCAGGAACCTGTTGCAGATAACATCACTCTCCCCCACGCTCCCAACTTTTAGACTCACAGCCCCCCTACTCTCTGGGATTCAAACTTCTAAATGGTCTGCATGTATTCACAAAGCAGGCAAAAAGCCCTCAAAGGAACCCCATCCCCAACCCCTGCCTGTGGAATACATTTGCTTTGACTTGGAATTTTAGGTGAAATTCAGCTTCCTGGCCTCCTTCAGTTTGAATCGGTTGGCAGGCCAGGTGCAGTGGCTCATGCCTATAATCTGAGCACTTTGGGAGGCTGAGGTGGGTGGATCACTTGAGGCCAGGAGTTGGAGACCAGCCTGGACAACATGGCGAAATCCTGTCTCTACTAAAAATACAAAAATTAGCTGGGTGTGGTGGCACACGCCTGTAGTCTCAGCTACTTGGGAGACTGAGCTGGGGGATTTCTTAAGCGCAAGAGATGGAGGTTGCAGTGAGCCGAGATCGCACCACTGCACTCCAGCCTGGGTGACAGAGACCCTGTCTCAAAACAAAACATGGAATAGGATGGCATTTAGTGAGCATCTACTATATGCCAGATATTAAGCTATGATCTCTAGGGGTAAAGAGACATGAACTACTGATACTGTCCTTGCCCTCAGAGGGCTCACAATCTAGGGAGCTTGATTTCCTTGTTACAGACAGAGCGCAGAGCAGAAGCTGAGGTGGGAACAGAGAAATAAATAATGGACACAACAGAGGCAGCAGAGTGACAGCTCCCAGCTGTTTGGGGCGGTGGAGCATGGTGGTAAATAGCTCAGGCTGTCTCTGAAGCCCTTGAAGACATCACTGTACCCTATTGTAGCATCTCATGGTGACGCTATTATGCTGGTCTCTGCAAAACCTGTCTGTGCCCCAATCCAGGATTGTGGCAGCTGCAGAGAAAATGGCCGTAACACTACCTCAAACCAGGACACACCCTCAGACCTGTGCCCTGGGCCACCTGGGAGCCAGAGACCTTCACCTGGGCTATGCCTCCAGGTTGAGGTTGGGGGTCCCGGCCTAGGGAAAGAGATGCCCCTCTGTGCTGGGTCACAAGGTCACGGCCCTGGGAACACACTCTGTTTTCTTTCTGGGTCATTTCTGCCTCTGCAGTGAAGGATGCCACAGGGCACACCCACTCTGCTGGCATGACACGGGACAGGTGTTTCTGCTCACAGCCATCGCGTCTTTGGATGAGGTGAGGGGTAGCACTCTCCTGTGCTCTGTTGACTAAGGCAGGGCAGCCTACAACCCACATCAGGAAGAGCACCAGCACCAGGGCTAAAATGAAACCACTTTCAACATTTAAACGGGTCACCTTCATTCACCTGCAAATTCTTTTCTTTAAAACCATTCATTCTCTCCAGGCAGGACACCTGAGACCTCATGCCAGGAGGCACCACAGGCCCTTTGTGAACTAAGTGCTCACTGCAGTGGCAAGACTGTGGGGAGTGCTGTGTGGTGCTGAATCTCAGGAGTGCCCCACACCCCTGAACCACAACTGCTGGGGGCGCGTTAGACCGAAACAAGAGCCTCTGGCTGCTGGGCCTGCCAGCAGGGAGATGCTAACCCTCTGCAGGGGGCTAGGGTAGTGGAGTGAGATGGTGAGACCCAGGCTCAGTCTCCCTGGCTCTTGCTGCATGATGGGGAGACCGCACACCTGATCTGCCCAGGAAGGTCCCAGTTGACCCCCACTGCCTCTGCTAAGTTAGGAGGAGGCCCCCTTTCCCTCTCAAAGGTACCTCATGCAGATGATACAATATGTTACTCTCAAAGGCTTCTTATCTGGATGATACAATATATGACCTTGGGCAAGTCTGGTTGCCTCTGCAGCCCTCAGCTTTCTCATGTGCAAATGATAGATGAAGTGCATATATTTGGAATCTTGCAGCATTATGTGAAGTGGGTATTTGCCGGGACCTATCTAGTCAATGCCCTGCAGCCAGAGACCACCAGAGCACACCTGTAGTTAACAAGCTGGGTTTCTTGTGGCAGCAAGGTGAATGAACACCAAGGCCAGCTGGGGGAGTCTGAAAGCGGTATTAGAAAGGACTAGTTATGGGATTTGGGCCTGTGTTCAGCGGCCTGGGGAGGATTGAAGGAGTGGACCTGTGCTCTGGATTGGATGCTGTCAGGAGGCAGGGCTCATTCTATGATTGGGCATCTTCTTCAATCTCTTCTAGGATAAAATAAAATAAAACACCGTGCTTCACGCCCCTGGCCTTGCCAACTTGCAGTCCCCTCTAAAGCACCAGGGCCTCTGGGGCAGCCCCTCTCCACTGGGAGAGGAGCAACGTGCTGGTGGAAGTCCTGGGGGGAAGTGGGGAGGCTCCGAAATGGCCAGGAGGGGCTTTTTGGGGTGGCAAAGCCTGGATTCCAGCTTTCAGCCCCAGGCTCTGGGTGTGTGTGCCAGGGTGAAAATGCCTGCTCTTGGTCACTCTCCTGTCAGGTCAGAGGGACTCTGGAAGTTTCCACTCTCTGGGGAGAGAAAGGCCCTGGAGGGACGGCCCCTGTCCTTAACTAACTGGAAAGGGTGAGCAAGGAAAGGCAGGGAGCTTGGGGACAGGGAGCCTGGGCTCTGCCAACTGCTTGCCGTGATCTTGGGCACACCACAGCCCTCCCTGGGCTCCTCTCTCTTTTCTCTGTGAGATATGGGGGGGGGCAAGATTCAACCTCTGCTCCCAGTCTCGCATCACTGAGTGCCAGGCACCGTGCAAGGCACCACCACACCTGTTTCCCCATCTGGTCCTCGACCAGTCTGTCAATTCCACATTGCAAATGTTTGTTCAAAATCCCAGACCAGGGATTTTGAGAAAGACCAGGTTTCACCTTTAGCCTCTGCCAGTTCTTGCTGTGTGGCCTTGGACAAGTCACAGGCCCTCTCTGAGCCTCAAGGTCCACATTTATGCAGTGGGGAGGATCATACCTCCCTCCTGGGCTTCTGTGAAAAAGAACTGGGTATAATGAGTATAATGCCCCAGGCACATTGTAGGTGCTTAGACAGTGTTGGTCTCCTTCCCTCTCTGGGTCTCTTCCCTCATCTATGCAGCAGGGAGCCACTGTCCTGCTGTTTATAAATAAAACAATAGGTGAGTGCATTCACCAGGAGGAAGATGCATGTAAAAGCTTCTTGCAAAGGCTAAAGAATGTCTGTGTGCCCGGTGCTGAGAGGCAGGCAAGCCCAGGGACTAAGGTGTATAAAATGCCTCTTGCGAGGCGGGAGGGGAGCAGCATGCTAAGTGAGAGGGGCAGCACCCTGAAGCTCGGAGGAGGAGCAGGATTTCTTGTGCTGTCAGACAGGTGCCAAACAGTCTTCCAGGCACCTGCTGAGCGCCAGGCGCTTCCCATAAATCATTTTATTGAATTTAATCTTTCCATCTGCCCTGAGAGATGAGCGTTACCAGGAGAGAAACTGGGATTCAAACGTAGGTCCTCTGAGCCTGTGCTCTTTCCACGATGCCACCTGGTCCATACATAATAAGACTCAACAATGCACCTGCTGTGCTGTGCACGCTTGATTTGATTTTATCCTCGCAGCTTGCAAGGTTGGTAGGCTGTCGCCATTTTATTTTTATTTTTATTTTCATTTTGAGACAGAGTTTTGCTCTTGTTGTCCAGGCTGAAGTGCAGTGGCATAATCTCAGCTTGCTGCAACCTCCACCTCCCTGTTGCAAGTGATTCCCCTGCCTCAGCCTCCCAAGTAGCTGAGATTACAGGTGCACGCCACCACACCTGGCTAATTTTGTATTTTTAGTAGAGATGGGGTTTCACCATGTTTTCCAGCTGGTCTCAAACTCCTAACCTCAGGTGATCCACCCACCTTGGCCTCCCATAGTGCTGGGATTACAGGTGTGAACCCCACGCCCAGCTGTCCCCATTATATAAATGAGGAACTGAGCCTCGGAGAAGCTGAATAATTTGCCCATCCTTGCAGAGAAGAGCTAAATGGAGGAGAGGAGGTCGAGCTGCAGGGCCTTCTGTTCCTGGCAGGAATCACCCAATAGCCCCAGGCCATTCTGACCCGAGTGGGACGGGAGAAAAATCAGTATCAATAAGTCGGGCAGCAAGGTTCCACTGAGGATCTACCTGTGCGTTTCTCTGTGCTAGTGTGGAGGGAGACACGCACTCCCACAACTTCCATGACTGTCTACTGCCCACAAGATAAAAGTCAGATTCCTCAGGCTGGCATTTGAGGCCCTTTGTGATCCACCCCAGCTGCCCCATCCAGCTGAATCATCGGCATGTGCCCCTGTGCAGC